AGCATCAAGTGCTCCAGGGTCGGGTGCTGTGCAGGTGAAGTCTAGGCAGTATCGTCTGGGACGTCTGATAGCTTCACAGTGACGACGTAGCGGCTGGGCCAATCCACTGGGAAGCAGTGAGGGAAGACACTAATTGGGAATCCGAACGACTGCAGCCGAGACGTAGGTAGGCAGCCGTAGTTGGGAGGAGAAGTTGACGGCCGGGAGACCGACTCCAACCCTACAAGACGTGGAGGAGGGGCACGGACCCGCGGAGGACAGAACACGGAGACGACGCGTTTATTTTGGGACGTTGATTGGGTTCCTGGAGGACACGACAGGGTGTGTGTGGGGGCGTTCCCTACACGAGGCGGGAGCCTGGACCAGGAGCTACAACTCAACTCTCACCGGAGGATAGGTGGAAGTAGGTGATTCTAGTTTCCCTCCCAAATTCCCCTTTAGTCAGCTATATTATTTAGCCAGAGTATTTTGTATGTCATGAGCAAGGCTCACCCATGTCACAGTAAGGCACAAGTGTGCAGCGAGGGGCTACATAGAGCACTCACGGTATCTATTATTATTATTGGTGTGTGCAGGCACCCGGAGTAATTGATGAATTTACTGTGTTGATAATGTCTTTCATGAGACTTTAATATGATCATTTAGTGAGAGAATATATATATATAAATGTACCAGTATTTGGTGTTAGGCTATGTGCCCAGTAACTATATTATTACTATTATTGATGTCTATGATTTATCTATATATATATATATATGTCTATGCTTGTGGATTGAATAACCATTCATGTGTGCAGTGATCAATTGAATATTCGCCCACGAAAGGAATTACTGAGAACTCCAGTAATATATACTTGCATGCGTTATCATTAAATGAGGTGCAGTGTGTTATACCATGATAATGAATTATTGCGTTCATTAATATAGAAATGTGTGATTGAGCTCAAGATCAGTGCAGTGAATCATCTGCGTTCTATTGCCATTATAGCAGTAATCGTGTTGTGTGTTAATACAGTGATAGTTGAGAATTTAAAGAAACAGGCGCCTCACGCCAGACAAACAGATAAACGAACATTCGCACGGTGAGAATCGCCCAGCTGATTTTGACATTGACGTGAGGGGGGAGCATTGCCAGCTTGGCGAGTTCATGATTATTTGTGAGAACGAGCGACTTTCGCATGAAATAGCTGTTTGTTTATTGATATAATTATGTGATGTCTTGAGTTTTAAGTAAAACACAAAATACCTTGGCGTTTGTATCATCCCCTCCATATTTCTTGTGGCTATATAATACGTGAAAGGAGATAGAGTGATAGAAATAAATACCTGCCTGATAGCAAACCTATTAAGTGTGCTCTTGCCACTGTTACCACAATTCAACAAAACCACTGACGTGTTACTGGACACGGGAAACACCAGTTGGCGACCTTGTGGTTAGTAGTAGAGCCTTCTGTCGGGGCGGGCACACAGCAGTTAAGAGAACAAGCTGTGTTCTCACTCATTCTCGATCAGAGGCCGGTTGGGATTGACTGGGATACTCTCCTGGCGTACAGTGGCGCCGTGAGGATAGAGTGAAGACCCGCAGGGCTACGGTGAGTGACCTTGGGTATACTGTTACTCGCCCCTCTTACGGTGAACCCCGACAATATATATATATATATATATATATATATATATATATATATATATATATATATATATATATATATATATATATATATATATATATATATATATCTTGGGCATAGCATTTTACCAAATCACCTCATTCTTTGTGGAACACGTGAGGAACACAAATGCGAACAAGCCTGAATGGTCCCCAGGACAATATGCAACTGAAAACTCACACCCCAGAAGTGACTCGAACCCATACTCCCAGGAGCAACGCAACTGGTATGTACAAGACGCCTTAATCCACTTGACCATCACAACCGGACAAATGAGATGGTAGCCGAGGCTATTTGAACCACCCCACCGCCGGCACTTGGATAGTAATCTTGGGCATAGCATTTTACCAAATCACCTCATTCTTTGGGGAACACGTGAGGAACACAAATGCGAACAAGCCTGAATGGTCCCCAGGACAATATGCAACTGAAAACTCACACCCCAGAAGTGACTCGAACCCATACTCCCAGGAGCAACGCAACTGGTATGTACAAGACGCCTTAATCCACTTGACCATCACGACCGGACAAAATGAGTATGGGTTGAGTATAATTGAAAAATTAAGCCCTGATGCTAAGAAAATAGTTAGAGGGATAGAAGCCCTAAACCAGAAAATAATAAATACAGAATATGCGGTCATATTCAATGAAACATATATATATATATGTATATATATATATATATATATATATATATATATATATATATATATATATATATATATATATATATATATTTCATTGAATATGACCGCATATTCTGTATTTATTATTTTCTGGTTTAGGGCTTCTATCCCTCTAACTATTTTCTTAGCATCAGGGCTTAATTGGAATAGGAGTTCTCCAAAACTCATTTTCGTACTTTTAAGGTGAAGAAAAGAAGTGATTTACTATAGAGTGTATTACACTTATTTGTATAATTTGCACGACGTTTCGAACCTCCATGGTTCATTCTCAAGTGAACAATCTTACAATACTAGTTGATTTTATACCCGCATTAGGTCAGGTGATAATACAATGAAGGTGAAAAACATGGGGGGATACATAAGGGATAAACATAGGGGCTGCAGAAGGCTTATTGGCCCATACGAGGCATCTCGTATCTAAACACAAAGATTAATCCAGTGTAATTGGCCTATTATGTTGGACATTGTCTTCTGTGTTGGCATCGATATGTTCTTGTCTTGTCCTTACTCTCATGGTGGGTAGAGTAAATAGTTCCGTGATTTGGGTGTTCATGGTAGGTCGCTCTATTCTTATGTGAATTGCCTCAAGAATTTGTAATCTTCTTGAATCTTGGGTTTTGTCTATTATGCAAGTATTCTTGTTCAAGATTTCTCTTGTTAGAGTAATGTCAAGGGCTTGTCTCATGTGATTCCTAGGGGCACCAGATTGAAGATGGCATGTCAAACGCCTCGTCAGCTTGGTCGACGTCATACCTATGTACTTACATTGAAGGTTACATCCTTCGTGGGGGCAAGTGTACATGTATACAACGCTTGACTGCTGTAGAGGGTTCTCCGTTGGCTTCGGGCTGTTTTTGATAAGGAGTTCGGAAGTCTTCTTGGTTTCCTCTTTTATATGTTCACTGTGCATGGTTGATTTGTAATATAATTTTATTGGGGGTGTTGTGGTTTCTGTTCTAGGTTCTGAATTATACCAACGGTCCAAGTGTCTTCTTATAGCAGCGTTTATTTCCGCGTTGCTATATCCGTTGTTCACCAATACCTGAGTTACTCTTTCAAACTCTCTACTCACGTTGCTCCATTCAGAGCAGTGGGTAAGCGCTCGACGAATATAAGCATTGAGAACACTGGCTTTGTATCTTTGGGGGCACTCACTTCTACCGTTCAGGCATAATCCTATGTTGGGGTGTACACCAACATAGGATTATGCCTGACCGTGCCCTCAGCCACAGCTGAGAATGGAAGCAAGTCGACGAAGAACTCTGTAGGGTAAGGCAGGTCCTAGTCAACAACGGCTTCTCCAATGGTTTCGTGGAAGACATCATAAGAAGGAAAGTGAAACGCCATGCAACCTCTGAAGAGACAACTAACACAACACCTATACCCCCTATTAGACTATTTTACAGGAACTTCTTTTCCACAGCCCATAAAACGGAGGAAAGGATCCTGAAAGATATTGTCAGTAGAAACGTTATCCCTACAGACAAAAATCAGAAGATACAACTGACGATTTACTATAAAACCAGAAAAACGGCCAGCCTACTCATGAGAAACTCTCCAGACACAAAGCAGAACGCATTAAAAGAGACCAACGTCGTCTATGCCTTCAAATGCCCTCTTGGGGACTGTAAGTCTCAAAAAACCCAGTATATAGGCAAGACAACAACATCTCTTTCCAGGCGTTTAACGATGCATAAACAAGCAACAGGGCTCCATTAAGGAACATATAATCTCTTCCCACAAACAAACCATCGCCAGAGAGATCTTAGCAAACAACACAGAAATCATCGATAGATACAGCGATAGCAGGCGGCTTGACGTTTGCGAGGCACTACACATCAAGAAGTCAACACCAGCAATCAACAGCCAATTAATGCACAACTATATTCTACCCACTTCAAGACTCGGCTTCAATATAGAAGCATCAAGAAATATGGATCAATAGGCTTTCTACAATTACTTCCATTCAATACCCATTGTTTCGTGTTCTGTCTTGTGTTTGAATTTAATACCCATTTAATACCCATTGTTGAAAGTTTGTTTTCACCTCATCCACCTCACCCAAATGTAGATATAAACAAATCGAAGATGTGTAAGTCCTATTCAGTTTCAGTTGTGTGTTTGTAAACTAAAGTCTTTGAAAATGTAATAAGTTTTATGAAACGCGCTCAAGTGTCGCGTCAGACTAGAAATAAAAATGAATTTTGGAGAATTGATTTTTGAATTACCATCAACAGTGAAAAGCAACGTACGAAAGATAGAGAAAATTCGTGTTAGAATTATTAATCTTACTTTTTCGGTCATATATATATATATATATATATATATATATATATATATATATATATATATATATATATATATATATATATATATATATATATATATATATATGTCTGTGCTTGAGTCGAACTTGTGACACAATATTACAGTTTTACAAGGTGGCTATTACTGGAAGCAATAACGTCACCCCGCATGGCCTATGATAGTCACAACTACCCACTAGTCACCATGCAAAGCTGGGCGAGGAGATTGCCAAACAGCATTAGCCTAGCATTATAGCATTCGTCCTTGAATAGACATTATATGTTAAAGATTTAGGTAAAATCTAGTCAAGCATGCCCTAATTAGCTTACTATCTCTCCCAGATATGGTTGAGGATTTCACAGCAGAGGCGGTGAGCTGGTCTGCCATCGCAACTACCTGGTTACCCCCGCAGTGTAACTCCGACCCCATCGTCGAGTACACAGTGTCGCTATTGGGTATCTCCTTCAACCGCTACTGGGTAACGGATCAAGTGTACACTACCAACTACACTTGGAACAAGTTGCGCAACAATAATAGATATACTGTATGTGTGAAGCCAGTACGGGGAAATGAATCATGCCTGTCTCTTAACACTTTACTGGAGAGTAAGTAAGGTCCTTAATTGTAGTTTTATTTAATTTAATTAATTGATTTGATTCCTGCAGGCACAAATTGCACGAATATTAAAACGCACTAACACTCAAATATGCACACGCACACACGGGCCGAAAGAGGCAAAACTCGACCCCCGCAAGCACAACTAGGTGAATACATGGGCACGTGCTCACGCACATGGACACGTGCACACGGTCCTGTGCACACGCACATGAATCCGTGCACACGGTCCTGTGCACACGCACATGAATCCGTGCACACGCACATGGGTCCGTGCACGCGCACATGAATCCGTGCACACGCACATGGGTCCGTGCACACGCACATGAATCCGTGCACACGCACATGGGTCCGTGCACACGCACATGAGCCCGTGCACACGCACATGTGCACGTGCATATGGGCGCGTGCACACTCACATTGGCGCTTGTACACGCATGTAAGAACATAAGAATAAAGGTAACTGCAGAAGGCCTACTGGCCCATACGAGGCAGTTCCTATTTATAACCACCCAATCGCAATCATATATATATGTCTAACAAATAATTTAAATAATCAAGGGTTCCTCTTTATATTATGTTACGCGGTAACTGGTTCCACAAATCCACAACCCTGTTATGCTATTATTAGCTCCACAAATCAACATTCCTTGGTTTCAGAAATCAACAAACCTTATTAAAGTCCACTTTGTTATGCAAATTCGTCTACATGTACACTTCAGTCATGTTACTTCTAATTCTTCACTTTTCTAAAGTATGAAAATTAAGGTTTTCAATTTCTTCATATCGAATGTTTTTATTTTGCGGGATTAACTTTGTCATCCTTCGCTTGACGCTTTCTCCAGTGAATTTGTGTACATTATATAGTATGGCGACCAAAACTGAACTGCATAATCTAAATAAGGCCTAACAAGACCCAGATAGCTGATGAATATCACCAAGTATTTTATTATTAACGTTTTGAAAATTAAACCTAGTGACCTATTTGTCATATTTCGAACATTAATGTATTGATTTTTTGTCTTTAAATTCTTACTTATCATAACTCCCAGACGCCCTTTCGCAATCTCAGCACCATGCAGATTCTATCCAGTAACGTTATCATCATTACCTATCTATTATGAGAAGAATATAGTAGTGAAGGGAACTACAGAAGGCCTAATGGCCCATACGAAGCATATCCTATTTATATCAACGTAATCTCATTCATATAAATGTCTAACCTACGCTTGAGACGATCATGGGATCCTACTTCTATTATGTTACACTGTAATTGGTTCCACAAATCTACAACACTGTTACCGAACTAGTATTTACCTAGGTCTTTCCTAAATATAAACTTATACAAATGATACCCATTGTTTCCTGTTTTGTCTTCTGTTTGTACTTTTAATATCCTATTATAAATACCCTTGTTAAGGGTACCCAATTACCCTATTATAATACCCTTGTGTTATGATCCCAGGCAGCCGAAAAACGAGTCTCCCCTCTGAGAATTATTCTATCAAGCCTGACCTGACTAGAAGGTCTAGGAAATATAGAGCTGATAACACAGATCTAAAATAGTTGGTCGGATTTTATGAACGATTTGAGATTATGGGCAGTGAATAAGAAAATAGATAAATGACTGGTTAGGAGATGTGGATAATTTGCTGGAGGCGTGAGGCTCGCTTCTGGAGGGCTTTGAGCTCACTTGAGTGCCCGACATCGCAGGGGGAAGCCGTGCTCTGTTTGAGCTCCCGTCAGAAAGGAACCCCTAGGGATATATCTCCAAGAGAGGAGAAGTGTGCAGACGTGCCAGCTGTGGAATCGAGCTGGGAAATTGTGGTCTCAAGTCCTGGACGGCGAGGAGAGAGCATTAAGCCGTCCAGAGACATTTTCGTGGGCTGTGGGAGCACCCTGACCAGACGCCATCAGAGGGATAGCGCCCTCGACTAGACAATCTGTGGTAAGCCCAATATAAGCCAGTTTAGAGTGATTACTTGTAGTTGGTCGTGTGCCCAGCGACAGTAGCGAATGTTTATTGATAAGTTAGAAATGTTTTGGTAAGGCAGGAAGCCTAAATGAGAGGACGGAGATGAGAGAGACAGCTGGAGGGATGAGCAGCACGTCCTCTCCCGTCGACCGAAAGAACCAAGAACTACTGCTGTGGACAGGGTAGAAGGTAATACTAATAAGTCAAAGGGGATTGAGATCATATCCCATAAGGAGAGAGTGGGGAGTCACAGCGGCTCGAGTGGGTGTGTGCACGTGACAACGAGGCTAAGTATTGGAGCCGCATCCCCTAAACGTGTGACGTTGAGCCCCTCTCCGAGAGCCAGAAGCGTCCAGGGTGATCTGGTAGAGTATAAGCACTCCACCGAGTTGGGGGTTGGGTTGTCCGTAAAGAAGGATCAACGACGACAACACCACCAACTACATTACAGAACTTGTTAAGACCTTTCATCCACTTGTACACCTCTATCATGTCACGCCTAATTCTTTGCCTTTCTAGATAATGTAATTTAAGTTTTTCAATCTTTCTTCATATGACAGGTTTCTAATTTGCGGGATTAACTTCTTTTTCCAATGTCGGACGCTTTCAAGTAAATTTGAATCTATTCTGTAGTATGGCGATCAAAACTGAACTGCAAAATCTATATGGGGCCTAACAAAAGCAAGATATAGCTGAAGAACAACACCAGGTGTCTTATTACTAACGCTTCGAGAAATAAATCAGTGTCTTATTTGCCTTTATACGAACATTTAGGCGATTGGCCTTCCATCGATGCCTAAATCGATTGACAATCGACATGAGAATGGTCCAGGACGGACCGGAACGTCGTCGTACTTTCACTTTCTTGTGTGTGGTTTGGTCAACATATTTCAGCCACGCTACTGTGACTCCTCGTCTGCATTTAAGCGATGTTTTTTTGGTCATTCCATATTTACTCTCGTCTATGTATCCCATTGACAGATGGGTCGTCGATGTCTGTAGAGTGCATTGGAACATGAATAGTAGGAAGCAGCTACGGGGAAGAAGGGAAGAACATGTACACGTGGGCATGTGTACACGCATATGGGCACATGCACGCACACATGGGCGCATGTACATGCATATGGGCAGTTGCACACGCACATGGGGACGTGTACACTCACGTAGGCACGTACACATTCAAGTGGGCACGTGCACACGTACATGGGCATGTGTGTCATCTTTTGTCCGGTCGTGATGGTCGAGTGGCTAAGGTGTCCTGTACACCAGTTGCAGAATGCTCCTGGCAGTATGGATTCGAGTCGCTTCTGGGGTGTGAGTTTTCGGTTGCATATATGCCTGGGGACCATTCAGGCTTGTTTGTATTTGTGTTCCTCACGTGTGCTCCAAAGAATAAGGTGATTTGGTAAAATACTATACCCAAGATTACCATCAGAGCGCTGACGGGGTGATGGGGAAATAGCCTCGGCTACCATCATCTTCTGTCCGGTCGTGATGGTCGAGTGGCTAAAGTGTCCTGTACTCTGCAACTGCAGAGTGCTCTTGAAGTATGGTTTCGAGTCACTTCTGGGGTGTGACTTTTCGTTAAAAAAAAAAAATATGTATATATATATATATATATATATATATATATATATATATATATATATATATATATATATATATATATATATATAAAAAAATATAAATATATATATATATATATATATATATATGCGAACAAGCCTGAATGGTCCCCAGGACAATATGCAACTGAAAACTCACACCCCAGAAGTGACTCGAACCCATACTCCCAGAAGCGACGCAACTGGTATGTACAAGACGCCTTAATCCACTTGACCATCACGACCGGACAAAATGAGGTGATAGCCGAGGCTATTTGAACCACCCCACCGCCGGCACTCGGATAGTAATCTTGGGCATAGCATTTTACCAAATCACCTCATTCTTTGGGGCACACGTGAGGAACACAAATGCGAACAAGCCTGAATGGTCCCCAGGACAATATGCAACTGAAAACTCACACCCCAGAAGTGACTCGAACCCATACTCCCAGAAGCAACGCAACTGGTATGTACAAGACGCCTTAATCCACTTGACCATCACGACCGGACAAAATGATGTGATAGCCGAGGCTATTTGAACCACCCCACCGCCGGCACTCGGATAGTAATCATGGGCATAGCATTTTACCAAATCACCTCATTCTTTGGGGCACACGTGAGGAACACAAATGCGAACAAGCCTGAATGGTCCCCAGGACAATATGCAACTGAAAACTCACACCCCAGAAGTGACTCGAACCCATACTCCCAGAAGCAACGCAACTGGTATGTACAAGACGCCTTAATCCACTTGACCATCACGACCGGACAAAATGAGGTGATAGCCGAGGCTATTTGAACCACCCCACCGCCGGCACTCGGATAGTAATCTTGGGCATAGCATTTTACCAAATCACCTCATTCTTTGGGGCACACGTGAGGAACACAAATGCGAACAAGCCTGAATGCTCCCCAGGACAATATGCAACTGAAAACTCACACCCCAGAAGTGACTCGAACCCATACTCCCAGAAGCAACGCAACTGGTATGTACAAGACGCCTTAATCCACTTGACCATCACGACCGGACAAAATGAGGTGATAGCCGAGGCTATTTGAACCACCCCACCGCCGGCACTCGGATAGTAATCTTGGGCATAGCATTTTACCAAATCACCTCATTCTTTGGGGCACACGTGAGGAACACAAATGCGAACAAGCCTGAATGGTCCCCAGGACAATATGCAACTGAAAACTCACACCCCAGACGTGACTCGAACCCATACTCCCAGAAGCAACGCAACTGGTATGTACAAGACGCCTTAATCCACTTGACCATCACGACCGGAAAAAATGAGGTGATAGCCGAGGCTATTTGAACCACCCCACCGCCGGCACTCGGATAGTAATCTTGGGCATAGCATTTTACCAAATCACCTCATTCTTTGGGGCACACGTGAGGAACACAAAT